AAATTAGCCGGGCATGATGGCGCCTGCCTGTAGTCCCAGCTACTTGGGAGGCTGAGGCAGGAGGATCGCTTGAGCCCAGGAGTTTGAGGTTGTTGTGAGCTAGGCTGACGCCATGGCACTCACTCTAGCCCGGGCAAAAGAGTGAGACTCTGTCTCAAAAAAAAAAAAAAAAACAACTAAAGAAGAAAATAATGTATACAATCTGTGTATTTTGATAAATGTATAAACCATGAAATCACCACCACAAGCAAGAAAATGAATAAATCCATCACCCCCCAAAATTTCCTCATGCCCCTTTGTAATCTGTCCCTCCTACCTCTTTGCTTCCTCTCCTACCTCCCAGGTCCACAGGCAACCACTGATCTTCTCTTACTAGAGATCAGTTTATGTTTTCTAGAATTCTACATAAATGGAATCGCACAGTGTTTAGTATGTATTCCTTTGGCTTCTTTCTTTCAGCATAATGGTTTTGAGATTCATCCATGTTGTAGCATGTATCAGTAGTCCATTCCTTTTAATTGTTCAGTAATACTCCACTGTATGAATATATCATAGTCTGTTTGTCTATTCCTTGTTAATGGATATCTGGGCTATTTCCAGATTTTGGCTTCAATAAATCAAGCTGCTATTAGCACTCACGTACAAGTTTGTGCAGACATTTGCTTTCATTTCTCTTGGGTAGATACTTTTAGGAAGAGAACTGCTGGGTCATACAATACATCTATGTTTAAGTTTTAAAGGAACTACCAAATTGTTTTCCAGATTATATCATTTTACATTCCTTTTTTTTTTCTTTTAAAATCCCTACCCCCCGAGACAAAGTCTCACTCTGTTGCCCAGGCTAGAGTGCCGTGGTGTCAGCCGAGATCACAACAACCTCGAACTCCTGGGCTCAAGCAATCCTTCTGCCTCAGACTCCTGAGTAGCTGGGACTACAGGCATGCGCCACCACGCCCGGCTAATTTTTTCTACATATTTTTAGTTGTCTAGCTAATTTCTTTCTATTTTTAGTAGAGACAGGGTCTCGGTCTTGCTCAGGCTGGTCTCAAACTCCTGACTAGAATGATACTCCCACCTCGGCCTCCCAGAGTGCTAGGATTACAGATGTGAGCCACCACGCCTGGCCCATTTTACATTCCCACCAGCAATGCATGAGAGTTCCAATTCCTCCCTTCCTCACCAGCACTTGTTATGATCAGTCTTTTTAATGTTAGACATTCTACTAGTTGTGTATTAGTGCTTCATTGTAGTTTTAATTTGTCCTTTCCTAAAGACTAATGACGTTGAACACCTTTCCATGTGCTTACGTGACATTCACATATCTTCTTTGGAGAAGTGTCTGGTTCAATTTTGTGGTGTTACGATATTGGTTTTCATCCATGGTTCCTGGCTCATAACTCCCATAGTCCTTATTATAATGTTGGGTGCTTTAGGCCTCAGGAGATAGAATCTCTCTCTCTGTCTCTCTTACCTTCTCCTGTCCTCCTTTTACCTGCCCAAGGCAAGACTTTAACCTAATTGTGGGTCAAAAGACCTTCACGCCAGAGAGGGTCCTGCCCCATTCCCTGGAGGAAGGAATGTGGCACAGAGAGGCCAGGAAGAACCTAGACAGGCCTTGCTGGGCTTAGATCTTGTGCTTTTTGTCCGATCACATTTCTACACAGTTGTTAATCGTGCCTATGTAATGTAGCCTCCATAAAAACCCGAGGGGACTGGGTTGGGAGAGCTTCTGGATAGCCGAATACGTGGAGGTTCCTAGAGCGAAGCACACCAGGGAGGGCATAGAGGCTCTGTGCCCCTTCCCTCATACCTCGCTCTATGCATCTCTTCATCTGTATCCTTGGTAATAACCTTTATAATAAACTGGTAAATCCAAGTGTTTCTCTGAGTTCTGTGAGCCATTCTAGCAAATTAAATTCAACCCAAAGAGGGAGGGGGTCGCTTCAACTACAAATTGAAGCTCGTCAGTCAGAAGCTCCAGAGGCCCAGACTTTTGACTGGTGGAGAGGGGGACAGTTTTGGGGATTGAGCCCTCACCCTGTGGTATCACTGGGTGACTCTGTCTCCAAGTAGACAGAGTCAAATTGAATTAGAGGATACCCAGCTGATGTCCACTGCTTGGTGTGTGGGGGAAAAACCCCACATTTGGTCACAGAAATCTTCTTCTGTGTTGTTGATTGTTACAGAGTTTAGAAGAGAGCAGAGTTTGGAATGTGCTTTTTCCAAAGCAAATCTTTTGCCCATTTCTTTTTAAAATTGGGTTGTTTTCTTATTATTGAGTTTTGAGGATTCTTTATATATTCTGGGTACAAGTCCTTTATCATGTATATGATGTGCAAGTATTTTCTCCAAGATTATGTCTGGTCTTTCCAAAATAAATAATATTAAAAGCATCTTATATGTACTAAATAGCCATACATATACAGCTGAAGATAGGATTCATTAACTGAAAGATATACCTTTGGAAAGTATCCAGAACACAGTACAAAGAGACAAAGAGAGAAAACACGAAAAAGAAATTAGGAGACGAGGAAAATAAAATGAAAAATGGATGTCTACTCAGAGTTCCAAAAGAAGAAAATAGAAAGAATGCAGAAGATGAAATACCCTTATCGATAATACTAGAGAATCTGATAGATGCCAAGGCTCAGAATCAGTAAGTTCAATAAAGCTCAACAGAGAAATTAAAAGAAGTTCATACTGGTTCTGCTCAAAATGGAGGATTATTTAATCCTAATCTCATTAAATCCCAAAACTCCAGTAAATGACAGCAAAAAGATTTTAGACATCAAATAACATCACATCACAAAAGCAGGACTAACAAGAACAAAGACAATAAAAATGTTTGGGCCAGGCATGATGGCTCGCACCTGTAATCCTAGCACTCTGGGAGGCTGAGGCGGGAGGATCACTTAAGCTCAGGAGTTTGAGACCAACCTGAGCAACAGCGAGACCCCATCTCTACCAAAAAGAGAAAAAATTAGCCAGGTGTGGTGGCACGCATTTGTAGTCCCAGCTACATGGGAGGCTGAGGCAGGAGGATTGCTCGAGCCCAGAGTTTGAGGTTGCAGTGAGCTATGATGACACTATTGCACTCTAGCACTCTAGCCAAGGAGACAGAGTAAGACTCTGTCTTAAAAAAAAAAAAAAAAAGAAGAGGATTTGTGGAATGATCTTTAGAAACTGGAGTATAAGGAAGGAGAATCTATAATCTTAACATTAGGAATTATTTATCCCCGAATGGCACAAGGATTATGATATTGAAACCAAACAGAAGAAAATATAATCTACACACCAACATTTATTACAAAGAACCCCTCCAATTCTCCCTCACCTATAATCAGTGCTTCCCCTACTTGCCAAGTCTGCATCACAGTGACAAAGCAAGCTACTGCAACCCACCATCCGTTTTATCTTTCAAAACCTGACATAGGATCCAGAATCAACACTGAAGATACACAGCAAGTCTGCCTGCTCAACTCTTAGTGTAGAGGCTGAGCCCCTCTGCTTCTAGAGGCACCCGGCTCCCTGCCCAGGGGCACCAGTGGGCAGCAGCAGTGAAGGCAGGCGCAGGGCTGCCCTGGGAGACCTGATCTGTTTCGTGGACCACAGCATGAATGGGAAAACCACTTGGTGGACTACTTTATAACTTCATATAATGTTTTGAAATATTCAAGAGAAATGACAATTTCTACCCTGAAAATAAAATTCTTTAAAAATAAATTCTAACCCAAACTTATTAGTACCTGTAAAAAATAATTTTAAAAATTCAATTTAATTCACTATTACTTACTCCATTTTCAGTGCGTTTTTCTCCAGGTACATTCATTACATTTCTCTGAGTTCGTTGCTCTTGGGTCTGACGGCCACCTAAAGAAATGAAAGGATCAAACTTACATTCTCTGTCCTGTCATAGTTTTAAACAAAAGAGAGTGTGATGAACAACTCCGTAGCAGGCGACTGAGGTAAAACAAACTCAAGTCCATGAAGTGCTGTGCGCCTGCTCCTGCCTCGTCCCCTGCCCCGGCTCTCACCTGATGCTGTTTGGAAATCATCCCACCTCAGCGCCCGCTGTACTCTGCTAGCATGCATGACTTCAAAGGGTTGTGAACCTAATGTTTTTTTGTTTTTTTTTTTAAAGAAAAGAAAAATATTTTCTTCTATTCCTTTCCTACTATGTTGGAAAAATTGAAGAAAAATTATATTGTGTAAGTACTGCTTCACCTTAAACCATGCATTCTCTAGGAGGTGACACTGCTGCCCCCAAAGGGACAAAAATTGGTTCTTAGGGGGATAAAAAAAATTACTTTTTATGTATAAAGCAAAGATATATTATAAACAGATATGCAGTATATCTGATGGTGGGAGAATGGGGGACAAGTAAGAATAAAATGTCCAAAGAAGGCTCCTTAAGGGGGCACTAATGCAAAAGGCATTATGAAACCTACGGCATCTATCAGTTCACAAGGTACATTAAACTCTTGGTTATTCTTAGTATTTTTAAGGAGTGAGGTATTCAGGTTAATTTAATATTCTTCAATTGCTGCCTCTTCCAAACAACAAACTATCAGAAATTAGAATAGTATAAACACACAACGTTAAAATTATACCAAATGCCACCTAATCTTTGATGGTAAAGAAGAAACCTGATGATCTGGCATTTCAGAGTCAGAAAATAATGAATAATAAATTAACATTTAGTGAGCACTTACTACGCACCAAACCCCTTTCTAAGCACTTCCCAAGTACATCTCATTAACCCTGCAGACAAGGAAACTGAGGCACAAGGAAGTGACGTCACCTGCCAAGGCCCCACGCTAAGTAAACAAGCAGGTCCGGGACTGAACCCAGATGGTCTTGCTCCCAATTCTGTCACACCAGCTCCCAGGTTCCAGTTCATGCTCTGCAGTTAGCTGGTTATGTGATTTTCGCTGAGTTTCTCTGCTGCTGTGAGCTTCTGTTTTCCTAAGTGCAAAAGGGAACTGAAAGACTGCCCTCTATGCTCTCCTCCACCTTCCAGGCAGAGAGCTCTCACCCTTGCAGCTGAGGGATGTCTTTTACTTCATCTTGCTATGTCTTATGGTCTACATACAATAAATACTCGTGCATCCCCTTTAAATAATATCAGCTGGTGACAACTGCATTGCCCTGAGCAAGAAACATGAATCTTGGGCTCTAAACTCTGGCTCCTTAGAATATAAATAAGCTGAAGTGAGAAGTTCAGTGAGCAAAAGCAAAGCAAAACGGGGGTAGAGCGCCCATGTGAGCGGTTCTCTATGCCACCCTTTTCTTCAGCTCTGAGAGACACAGGCAGAGGATAAGGGGCAGAGGGGAGAGCATTACGGGGCAGGGTGGATGGAATACTGAGTTGGGGCACAAAAGAGAGAATGAATGTGCAAGAAAAAATGTGGCTGGCTGGAAGAGAGAAAGAAGGGACAATGAGATTGAAGAAAGAGAGTCACATTACAAATGCCATCAAAGCTAATCCGGGACTGTTGAACAGAGAAGCAGGGCCTCTGCTGAAAGTTCTGAATAGTAATGAAAACTGTGTGATGAATTTGGTTCTTCCAACCCTGACGAAACCTCCTATCACCCCACACCCGATTCAGTCCCCTTGGAGTGTCTCCTTCACATTCTGATCCCCTCCCGGAATGCAGCAGCTCTGTATCCTCCCCTCCCAACCCTACTCTTCCCAAAGTCCACTCCAAGCCCCATCTCGTCCAGGACTCTTCCCAGTGCTGTGCTGTGCTGTGCTCTGATGGCATCTCCTCTGCACCACACAGAACTGCTGTGAGCTGCTGCCGGCTCACATGTGCTCCTGTGTTGCCACAACACAAGGGTCAACCTGATAGCCAGCGCTGTCACTTTCCTTATGACTCTAAATGGGTCTCTAAGGATCCCTAACATTCCTAAACTGTATTGAGTGAGAAAAAAATAACCCCCCTCTCCAGGAAATTAAGGGTTATGGATACATATTATGTCAACAAAAGTAAAAGGTAAGACTTTTCATTTACGTATAGCTAGGTGAAGGAGGGTATAGTTACTTGGGGAGCTTAGGAAGAGTTAAAATAAATCCTTAGTATTAGAACAGCACTTAAAAGTCAGTCTAATCCTCCTCTTCAGGGGCATTTTCCCAGAGTAAGGGCCCTTGTCTAAGGTAAGTGGACGAAGAGCTGAGCCCAGATCCTTGGTGCCCAGGCTCCAGATGACCAGGACCAGTGGAATAAAATGCAAATGTAATGATGTATTTTAAAAGACAGCATTATAGTGATATTCGCAGCTATGGAAAGATGATTTTAAAGCAGATAGTAGCTCATCCAACGAGCAAAATTTCCTTTACTATAGAATACAAATGGGGGGGTGATTGGCAATAAAGAAATCTTTTTACAAAAGGATGTCCTTTTGTTTGGAGTTTTTTTAAATACCAGAAGTAATCCATAATCAGTTAAATAACAAGTTAAAGGTCTCTTAACTGTATAGCGTTCAGAAACTGTATGTGTGTTCAGAAAAAAAGATTCCCTTTTTTCTTTAAATTTCAATTTAAGAATTAATATATTCCCATGGTCCAAACTTCAAAAGGAAAAAGGTATACGGCTAATAACCCTCTCTCCCCTGTTCTGCAGCCACTCTTGCCTTCCCTCAGGATAACGACATTACTAGTTTCCTATATATCCTTCCAAAGATACTTTATACATATACAAGCAGATATATACATGCCTAATTACGCTTTGGTCACTTTTACCTGAAAGGCAGTGCAGAGTGCACCTTCCTTTCACCCTGCTTTACTCACGCAACCTGTCTGGGAGATGGTCTGGGTCAAGGAACAGAGTTTCTTCACTAGTTATGGCTACAGAGCATCTGCATGTGGATGGACCATCGTTTACTTAGCTCGACTCCCTGGTGGGCGTTTACATTGCTCCTACCACCAACGCTGGAGGAGTAACACTGGGTATGTATTATTTTGTATGTGTCCAGGTGCAGCTTTGGGATAAATTCTCAGTAGTGAATTTACTGGGTGAAAGGTTTTATGCTTTTATGAGTTCAATAGCTATTGCCAAATTGCCGTCTACAGAAGTTACCAATGGACTCCCACAGCAATGCAGAAGAGCGCCTGTTTCTCAGCATCCTTGTCAACACTGTGCTATTCAACGCTTGAATCTTTGTCAACACAACACGTAAAATACAGTATCTCAGCGTTGTTTTCCCTGTACTTCTTTTATGAGGAGTAAGGCTAAACATCTTTTCATATATCCCAGGGCCATGGACATTTCCTTTTCTGTGAACTGTATTATTTTCTTATTACCTTACTAAGTTTTTTATTTTTCTTACCAATTTTTAAGAACTCTTTACATGTAAAGGGAATTAGCCTTCTACACTATGAGTTATAAATGCTGTTTCCAAGTTTATAATTTGTCTTTTGACTTTGCTTAGGATGGTTATTCCCATGCAGTCTTTTTTTTTGTTTTGTTTTAAATAATTCATTTATCAGTCTTGTCTTTTATGGTTTAGTATTACACTTAGAAAGGCCTTGTCCGCTCTACAAAAAAAAAGAGCATCTCTCAGAACTTTTTTCTAATCCTTTTATGGTTTTATACATTTTTAAAATCTAGATATTTGACCCATCTGGTGTTTATCAAAAACAATCCCTTTAAACAGCAAGTCCTTTTGTATGTTTGAATACGTTATCTGACCAACTGAAGGTCCTAAGAAGGAAATGATAGCTGGTGCCTAAAGAGTAAAACACAACCATAAACTGTAAAAACAGAAGCCAAAGAAACATGAGATACTAACTCTCTCACTCGCTACTTGTGAGTGAAAGGGGAGAAAAGTGTGAATAATTTATTTGAGTATTTATTCCTATTTTTCTTAAATTAACTTTTACGGCAAAAATTAATAAATAAAGAAGTCATTTATCTACCTTGCTCACTGCTCTCTGCTGGCGAGTCCTCATGTCGAAGGAAAAATTTCACTTCTTCCCTACGTGGCCCCCACTTCTGCAGATGTTCATACATCATATGATCAAAGGGTATAGGACGCTCTAGGAAAAAGACCACATCTTACTGACTCTAAAAACAAAATGATTCCAACCAAAAGTTAAAAAAATTTTTTAAAAACTTTTAATAAATGTACACATGGAAACATATATATCTAAATATTAGAATTCAAAGAATTTTGAACTTTAACTGTAATGAATAAAAGCAGGAATATAAATGAGAAATCATTTAAGCAACATATAAACATAAGAAGTATCCATAAAAGTAATTTTCCAACATTAATTAGAGAACAGTGAAAACATGCCCTTATATTTACATTTATCACAAAATAGTGTATCTGTCATTCTTCAAAGAAACATAACAACTGATCAAGCCATGTTATTTCTGGAAATGTTACATGTGGCAATCAAATGTACAAAGGCTGGACAGGGCACTTCCTGGTAACTCAGGCAACATTATTGTGAATGTTTGCCAGCAAATAGTTAATAATAAAAATTAAATCCTATAGGATTAAATGTATTTAAAATATTTTTTTTAAAAAGCAAAGTTCACAATATCTCTTTACCAATTACTTGAGAAGAGCACTAACACAGTTAAAAGTACCACTTTTACGTTTATAATGCATTCCATTTTCCTTCTCTGTGAACTATCTCAAGTACTATGCCCATCATAAAAAATATCTGGGTTGTCTGCCTCTTTCCTAGGTATTTGAAGGAGTTTCTTATATTCTGGATACTAATCCTGAGTTGGTTACACATATTGAAAATAGACTTGTCTTTTAATTTTGTTGGTATCATTTTTTTTGTACAGAAGTTTTAAAAATTTAAATGCAGACAGTTAGCAGTCTTTTCCAATTTTAGTTTGAGCTTTTTGCACAATAAATCCTCCTCTACTCCAAGGTCAAAAAGATATCCTCTTACGTTGTGTCTACAAATTTTAAGGTACTATTTCTCATTGCCTTTACGGAATTTATTTCTGTATATGGCATAAAGATCTAATTTTATTGTTTCCTACTTGAATAATCATCATCCCAGAATCACTGAACAGTTTATTCTTTCCCCACGGACAAGTAAATGCCACCTCTGATATGCAGTGGGATGTCATATATGTGAGTAGGATTTTTTCTGAGCTGTCTCTTCTATTGGCTACCCCCCCATTTCTGTGCCAATCCCACAGTCTTAATTACTACCATTTTATAGTAAGTCTTGCTACCTGGTAGATCAATTTCCTTCATATGGCTTTGTTTCAAAATTGTCTTATTATTTCTCGGTCCTTTGGAACCATTGTAATTTATTTATTAATAAATTTGGGGAGACCTGCCATCTTTGTGATACTGAGTTTTCCAGTCCATGAACATGACTGTATCTTCATTTTTGTCATGCACCTTGTGTTCTTCAATGTTTTCAAAAGTCTCACCACAGAGGTCTTCCACATCTTAATTTATTCCTCTGAACGTCATAGATTTTTTGTTTTACATGTGCGTATTGTCTTTTAAGAAATAACTGTTCTCGGGGGGGGGGGGCAAGGGCAACATACATAACCTAAACATCTGTACCCCTACAATATGGTGAAATAAAAAAAAAAAAGAAATAACTGTTCTATAACATTTTGGAATAATTTTAGATTTATAGAAGTTACCAAGCGAGTACAAAGAGTTCCGGTATATCCTTCACCCACACTTCCCTAATGTGAACATGTTACATAACTGTATACACTTGACCCTTGAACAACACGGGTTTGAACTGCATGAATCACTTATACGCAGATGTCCTTCCACCTCTGCCACGCGGGACAGCAAGACCAACCCCTCCTCTTTCTTCTCCTCAGCTTATTCAACATGAAGATGACAGGATGAAGATCTTTATGATAATCCACTTCCACTTAATACATATTTTCTCTTATTTTCTTAGCAATATTCTTTTCTCTAGCTTTATTGTGAGAATACAGTATATAATAATACATATAACATAAAAAATATGCATTAACTAACTGTTCATCTTATCAGCAGGCTTCTGGTCAACAGTAGGCTATCAGTACTTAAGTTTCAGGGGAGTCAAAAGTGATACGTTAATTTTCAACTGCACAGGGGTGTCAGTGATCCTAAACACTCATTGTTCAAGGGTCAACTGTACTTAATAAACATTGTTAACAGTGCTGTTCAAATCTTCCATATTTTTATTTTGCCTGTTTGATCAATTTCTAATAGATATGTTTACAAATCTCCCATTTTGATTGTGGATTTGTCAAATTATTCCTTGTAATTTTATCAATTTTGACTTTCATCTTTCAGGCTACCTGTTAAATGTATATTTACTCAGGATTGTTTAAGCTTCTTGATGTCTTGATGTATTGCTACTTTTATTATGCCCATCTTTATCTTTTCTAGTATTTTTGCCTTAAATTCTATTTTGCCTGATATTATTGTTACTATAAAAGCTGTCTTTTAATCTTTCTCTTCATTTTCACACTTTTCATGGTATTATGTTTGGTATATCTCTTGTAAGCAGCATATAGCTGGATCTTATTTCTTATTTATTTCTTTTTATTCAATCTATGATTCTGTCTTAACAGGTAAATCTAATCTTATGTGGTTACAGATGTTTTTGGATTTAGTTCTCCCATCTTATTTTATGTTTTTAGTCCTTTTTTTGTTTCCTTCCCGCTCTTTTCTGATTTCTCTTGGACTGATAAAATGTTCTGTGTTTCCCTTTTTCCCCTCCTGCCCATTTGAAGCACAGTTCTAAGGCACTTTAGAGGCACTGTATCATTAATCTTCATTACCAGTAGCAACCCCAGCATCAAGTAATAAGCCTGGCCTTGGGCTTGACCCAGGTGGAACACACCTCCGGCCCTGCTGCTCCATGGGACCCCAACTCCCAGCTCCGCTGCCTGCTTCCGGCAGAGGCAGGAGGACCGCACTTTGGTCCTGCTTGCTGCCTTGCACTTTTGCTCCACAGCAGGTGCACAGGGATGTTTGTCTTCATTATTGTTTTTTTTTTTTTTAATGTGAGAATATCTTTTTAATTTTTATATATTTTTCTCTTTACTGGCTTAGAGCAGAAGGGGTGCTTTAAAGCACAAATCTAATGCACCAATTTGGCCAGTCTTAATTTTTGAGATTGGTTTGAATCTTGTACATTCACTGTCTTTAAACTATGCTTATATTTTGCAGAAAAACAAAAAAGATCCACACAAACCCACACCATGACTTCCTCTGACATCCTTACCTACAGGCCATCTCAGTGGTGTTCTTTTTAGCTCATAAATCCTGCAAGGACAGAGAGTTCTACCCC